TTCTTGCTGCCTCCATCATCAGGGCGATGGGTCACCCTGATGATGGAGGCAGGAAGGACCTCTGAAACGTCCGTAAACTTCTACCAAACTATACGGAGCTACAACCCAGATGACAGACATCTTGAAAACACACCACGTCTCCATGACAACGATCATCTGGTTAACGCTGTTTAAGGATATAATCGCTGTTTATTCTGAGAATCATAGTTCGTCTGATTAATATTTAAGAATTGAGTCCGTACCGCGAAGAAAACACCACACTTCACCATTACAAAGACCAACTGGTTAACGCTGTTTAAGGAAATAATCGATGTTTATAGTGAGAATCATAGTTCGTCTGAATAATATTTAATAATTCAGTCCGTACCGCGAAGAAAACACAACTCTTCACCATTACAAATATCAATTGGTTAACGCTGTTTAAGGAAATTCTGAGAATCACACGAAACACATAAATGCACTCTGTGGGAGAAATGCAGAGTTGTCAGTGTTAAAGAACCACTGTGCTCTAAAAGGTTAGCTCATGAAGCAAGTAGATGGAGGGTCACTGAAGTGTAATTCTACTTCGTAGACGTTGTACTGACTCGCTCGGAATAGCTTGGACATCCTGTCCATACAAGGCTTCCTCCATGTTTGGTAATAAAGACAATGAAAGGGACTCAGGAACAAGAAACAGTCGCAGAACAAAGTTAACTCTGCAGAGCGACCGGCCATATATATTACGCGCGATTTTACCCATATCTGAGCTCTCAGGAACGTGACTTCCGTCGCACACGATCAGTTTTTGCGTTAACTCGGGTACCACTGAGTTATGACCGCTTACCGATTCGACGACTCTGACGGGAAAGGGTATTTTACCTCGCACCACGTCAACACGGCGCGAGGCTAACACGGCGAAAGTGAGGCGCCAGGTTTTCGCGGAGGAGAAGATGCAGATCGTGTTCTTCCAGGTTGTGACGCCGTGAATATGGAAGCAATACGTTCCATCGAAACACTGATAACCTTCTACAAGAACGCATGCCGTCACAACCCATAAGAACACTACTGAAGTGTTTCTTGACAAATTTGTTAAATTTTCTGTCTTTGGTGAACGGCAGAGTGTACTGATAGTGAATAAAATTAAAACCTTTCCAGAAATTGTAATATAACCCTCTAACCCAGTGGTACTCAACCTGGGGTACGCGTACCCCCGGGAGTACGCGAAGACATCTTAGGGGGTACGTGAAATTTAAAAAATATATATATTATTTTATGATAAACACTGAATAATCAGTAATGTAATTTATTTAATTTATTTTAGATGTAGATTATATACTATGCATAACTTGAATTATACACCAACAACTTTGGGGGTACAAAGTTGAAGAGAAATTATATCTGGGGGTACGCGAACAAAAAAGGTTGAATACCACTGTTCTAACCCAATGGTAACTACACGTACCACTCTCTTTAACAATGCATAACTGCATTTCGTATACGATTCTCATTGTAAACAGCGATTATTTCCTTAAACAGCGTCAACCAGTTGATCTTTGTAATTGTGAAGTGTTGTGTTCTCTTCGCGGTACGTGCTGAATTCTTAATTAATATTTACACGCGGTTCGAAGGCCTTGGTTCAAGACAACGGATCAGTAGACGGAAGATAATGTTGACTCAGTTATAAAATGAAGGTTTCATAATGAGAATACCAAAGTACATGTGACGGGACATGTAGCATGCACAGGGGACAAGAGAAAAGGACGTACGGCAATGAAACTTCGGGCTCTTGGCTGGATGAGCGAATGTTATCTTGTCAAGCAGTCTGCTCCATGGAGTTACCTAGTCACATGCATATCCAGGTCCTAAGTAATGAAAGGAAATTTTCCGTAATTCATTTTAGAAGCTCTTCCCTCTGCAGGGTAGAATTAAATATTGGGTGTCATAGAACAGAAACTCAATTTTCGGTCCTCAATAATTGTGCCCACATTCAGATCGCCATTTTGCGGACATCCGAAGTCCTTCCCTGTCGGAAGATGAGGATAGGAGACGGGATTTATCCTCCCCTGTGCTTGCTTCCTGCTCCAAATGCCGAGGGGTGCGATCCAAAAGAAGGGTGAATCAGCCACCACTCTCTCCTCTGGGGACAATTAATGATTTCGTCTACCGAAGGGAGAGCTACTAGGACGATTGAATGGGCAGCCCCTGCCGTCGACTGGCAACCGCACAAAGACGATGATGTAACGACACATGGTCCTTGGTTTACGTTCGTCACATTTTAGGAGTCATCATTTCAGCTGCCGACCATCAAAATAGGACGCATCTCAGGGTCCCGTGTCAAGTTATAGTCGATTAATTTTCTTCAACACCAAATTAATTACGTTGTTAACATCTTAAATCCAGTGGTAACTATATGTACCACCTGCTGTAACAATCGGTAACCCTACATTTTGGAGTAATATTTTCTTTACCACCAGCGTTGGTTCAGTTAAAATTCTCACTGGTAATTCACAGACGGGAAGGCAAACAAATGCGGTGGGAAAAGCAGATGGCGTTCTGCAGTGTCAAAATTTCGTCACACAATAGGACAGAACGAGTCTTTTGGCCGGGGCCAGAAGACAAATAAGTGCAGAGGAACAGATGTTACAAGCAGATGGTAAGGAGACGACGCCAAATTCTGCATTTCCGTAAGTTCGAAGAGATTTAAACCTCTGGTCGGATCACCAGGTGCGTCTTTTCAGCGGCCAAGAGACCCTGCCCAAAGCGTCTGAAATGACCTACATTCATCCACAGTCTCGTTTCTTTGAGACCACGCCCCTCTGCTCATGAAAAGGGTTGCCAATATTCAATGCAGTTCACAAACAAAAGGGTTTGTCCCCTAAGTTTTGAAAATAAAGTCAGTCATGTTCTTCTGTGAACATGGTCATGGAACTCCGGGTTCCATAAAAGGCGGGGAGTTTCACTACCAGTTCAGCGACTATCAGCTTCTCATTAAGAATGATCCTTCATGGTTTTTGTTGTCAGATTACAGTAAACTATGAATTGGAGAGAATGCAGAAGGAAGCGACCGTGGTTTAATTTGACGAACTATCCCAGAAATTGCCTTGAGGGACTGAGTAAAACAACGAAAATCAGTATAGCCGGTCTCTAAACCGAGTTATGAACCCTGGACTTACGGAATATAAAGTAGTGCTAACCACACAACCGTGACGTCACAATCTTCGGGTGTTATTCAGTTAAAACACTGATAATTACGAATGTTCCAAGTGGAATGCATAAAAAATAGGCAATGATTTTCCCCAGGACGCTTTACGACAGAGCCGAACCTGGTACCTATAGGTTACAAAACCAAAAGTGTTACCACTGAGTTAATCTGTCCGACAGGACTGCGGTATTTATCCAACGAGATAATATTTGTGTTCCTTCGTGAACGAGCATCTCCATGTTAAATAACCACAGGAGAACGGCCCTCGTCATATAAAGACCATAGGTTAGGGCTCAGTCCTTCCAAATGATGACATAATATCTGGGACTGAAACAGCGTCTTTAAACAATCAAAGAAAAATGTATTAATGACGTAGAAAAACGTGTACGTTGACTATAAGACCTGCTGTTTGTTTTGTTTGGAGTTTTTAGCTTAAAGTCGGTCGAAAGTGGAAGTTTGATTCCAATAAAAGCTGTTAATTACTTCCTTCTAAAGCATCTTACTAAGCCAGTTCCTTTTTAAGTACTCTTAGTGAATCGGCAGAGCTCTCAAGGCAATAAACGTACAGTTAATCTCACCAGATACGTGGTACAGATATTATACCAGCAACGCCTCACTTTATGACGTAAGAAAAGATACGGCTATCGATTATCAAACGATATCGATACATCGAAGTGGCAGGAACATACTGATGCTTTTATAGATGCCAATAAACAGACGCAACAATGTAGACGCAACAATGTCAACAATAATACAACAATGCATGAATACAACAATGTCATTAAACAGTTCAACAATGCCAACCCCAACACATCACAATAGTATGGGACTTTGAAATTGTACGTGGTGCAAAGGTTTCGAAAACGCGATGTCTATCTTCTGGGTAGCAACGTCGTTTGTCGGTACATACCAACATTTCTGAGGATCATAAACGACTCCATCTTCAGGGCTAGGTAGTTGGTATATATCAACAAATATGCGCGGCTAACATGGGCATTTTCACCGCCATGATAACCTGAAATATGTTCCAAAAATTCGCCACTTTCGTTGACTTTAATTAAAACTACAGAATGTATAAACAAGGCTTCGTAACTTAAACCTTACTGCGTTATTAACCACTCCTATCGAGAATAACCTATGAAATACTGAGCTAAAGCCAACACGAAGACACGTCACGTACGTTTCAGAAAATACGCGACTGGATGACACGGGTTCGGATCCCGATTATGACAGAGGTATTTTTTTTATTTGCCACCGCGTCCAGACCGGCTCTGGGGGCTCCTTCCTCGGGGATAAAAGGGCCGGAGCTTCAAACTGTCCACTCAACTCCACATAATTCGTTCAAGAGGGCCTACTCACCTGTGCTGAGGCCTGCAGACACGCCGCCCTGGTACACACGGGGAAGAGATGACTGTGCGGTGTTCGGGGCCAAGTTGAAGCCAGGGTGATGATAACAATGAGAAACACCAGCAACAACACAATCACGGCACAGGCAACAATCAGACCGATTCGAGACAAACCAGTTTTTTGTCGTAATTTCTGTTCCAATTCTGAAATAAACTGAGACGGTTTTCCTGCATCTTCGGAATCTTTAACTTTCCTGTTCTTACTCAGACTGTTAGTTGAAGAAGACTTTAAATTTGATTTCACTTTGACTGGTGCACTGTCTATTTCATCGGGGGACTGTTGTAATTTATTGTTGACAGGTAAACATGGGTCCATTTCTCCCGCTGCTGGTGATTCGGAATTGTCTGGTGATTCTGACTGCCGCTCACGTTTTCCATTAGCTAACGGTATATACACATCGGCTTGCAGCGTTGCCCTGTTCGCCTCTGAGTCTGAGGTGGAAGACCCGCTACCAGATGAACCAGACATTTCCATTAACCACTACTTAAACACGCGAATCGGGCATTTGAAGTGTCGAACTCAAATCCTGACGCATCAAAATGAAAAATAAACATAAATGTAATAAAAATAATACTCGCATCCGAAACAAATGTGTCTGCAGTTAAGTAGCCCAAGCTTCTTCAGCGTGTAAATCAAACAAATTAGAGGTTGCACTTCTGCTTACAAAACAATATGTACTCCAAATTAGCAGAGTTATTGCCCCGTAAAAACAGATGCTAATCGACGCATTGCAGTATTTCACTTAATATTGCATCACTTAAAGTGGCAAAGAGACGCTAATTTGAAATGCGAGTGTCATAACTGTAATATGTAAACATAACTCGAATGTTACTTATTTGTGAGTCGACTCAAACCACATCGCACAATGTGACACAGTAAAATGACGGAGAAAAGTTGCCAACCAACTGCGCGAAAGCACAGATTTCCACTGAAATGTTTCACTACACAAGAAAATTAACAAAGAACGTGACACTTTCCTCTGTAAATAAATAAATAATCTTTAGTTACTCCTTCATAACAGGTTATAAACAAGAACGTTCTCCTTCGACCACTTAAATCCGAGCAGTGTTGTTGGTATTACAGATTCACCGCCTTAACACGACGTTCACAACTCACCGGTAGAGGCTTGTGTGACAGCTTTAAGTTCTGCACACCAGAGGTCAGTCTGAATAGCGACAAAAGAACAAATGCGTATTACCGCGCGCAAGATTTGTGCCACAACAATCAATTATCTTCTTTCTTCCTGATAACAATTTAATCTTCCATGTTAACTGAGAATCTCATGTTACTGATAACAGCAAGACGCCTGGTGACGTGAGAATGGTTTTCTCACACGATATTCCTTCTGTCAGCGAAATGTGGTAATGATAAAAATGGCCGCGTACCCTTTCAGTCAAGGGCAAAAGCAATGATTAGCATTCACGCAGTTAATGGTAGGGATTAGATCGTGGTAGATCATTAAACACGGTTAATAAATTACCAGCTGCATTCATACAGACTTCATCCACTCAAAATCGACGAAAACAAAGCAAATCAAAGTCGAAGCAACGCGAACAAAAATCTGGAGCTTACATTCGAAGTACCGAACATCAGTTTTCATTCATACCGTCTGAATACATTAAACAAAAACAAAAAAAAAACATGGCGGCTGTGTGAGCTTGCAGGCAGTTGGATCTGACCTTCATTCAAAGAACCGAAGACCAAGCAACAGGTTTTGTCGACAAACCCAAGCCAAAGGGATGCACAAAAAATTCCAGGCATGGAAATAAACCAAACAATCCTAAATCACAGTTACACAGAACGAAAGTAAACATTACCGATAAAACAGAGTCCATAATTTAATTCATTACCTGTGACTGTAACAACATAATTATACAGCACGCACGAGGAAAGCAAAAGTGGAGGTCGAAACCAAGCTTAGCTTTAAAGTTGGAGATTTGTAATCTGGAAGCACCCACTTCAAATCTCGACTGTGATTTCGCCTAATCTCAAGGAAGTTTATCATTGGGACATGTAGAACGCATGCAAACAATGCTAAATGCATACAAATATTTCAGTTCGAAGCCCTGAAGATACACTTCAAGGTCAGCGTTTGCCTCGGATGAAATTTAAATTATACTAAGAGTTTCTTAACGTCTCTAAATCAGGCAACATTGAAGCCTGGCATCAGACGAGCGGTTTCGAATTCGTTCTGTGAATAATTAATTATAAATTACGTGAAAGTGGTTGTGACCTGGTCTGAAGTACCATTTCAGCATTTGCCCGAAGCGACTGAGGAAAACTACGAAAAATGTAGTTACGATAACCGGTGTCCAGGTTACGAAGCGAACCACTCAGTTGCGATGTTAGGTTAAAAAAGTATTTGGTGCCTTAAGTCCAACCGAGCGCGGACTGTAGACGTACATTTGTTAGGTTACTAGCCAATAACCATCAATCTATGGGATAAATACGCTAAAGAGTTATTAAAACACAGGGAAACTGCCACTGTTGCCAACTATCGCGTAACCATCATCTGTTAAAACTCGTCATTGCGTCATTGAAGCTGAAACCTCGTCTGAATAATATTTAAGAATTCAATCCGTACCGCGAAGAAAACACGACACTTCACCATTGCGAAGATCGACATACGTAAATATAAAATGGAGAGTTATTGATTGTTACAATAGAGAGAACGTATAGTTTACGTGGCTTTGAAGGGCCAGCACACAAGAAAGAATGCTACTTTATTTTAGTTTTTGTTGGAGACATTTGGAAGACCTCGGTGAAGATGTGAGGATAATATTAAAATGGAGTTTAAAATAATGTTACAAGAGTGTGTGGCCTGGACTTAATTGGGAGATGTTGCTGGATTTTGTGAACACGGTAATGAACATGAAAGATTCCATAATTGGCGGAACAGTTTGGCGACTGTTAGCTTGTCAAATAGTAGCTACTACATTTTTTTTCATGAGCCGCTGGAATTTGTATGTGTTTCTGGAGGCAGTAAGCACCTCTGAAACGTCGGTTAAGGAACAAAATCGCAGGAAACCTTCATTGAAAATGTTGTTTGAACGGATTTAAGCTCACTTCGACAACCATTCTCTTTTCGTACCATTACAAACAAAAGCGATTCCGATAAAAAAAAAAAAAGATTCAAGTTCGTCCTCCATCTTGGTAAGACGTACTTTCTCCCACCCACAGCCAATGGTGAGCCTTCCAGGTCGAGATGGTACAGCAACGACATCTCGAAAGAGCTACACGAGACAGAACATGACCAGTCACTCGCTCCCCCCTCTGCAAGATGGAGATGTAAATGCGCCCAGCATCCATGGATGTCCAAAACAGGCGTGACACAAAACTTATGACATGGTGGTTTATCACAGAGATGGCCGAAACAGGTAATTTACCGAAGTAGGAAACACGAAACGGACCAAATTATACACGGCGAGAATTGCTAAAAGCACATTGTTGGCCGTAGATACCACCAGCTCCAATAATTAGAACTCAAAATTTTGCCCACGCGGTGTGATTATGGTTTTTCGCAAATCAAATTTTTCGTAACCTGGGTACAGTCGTTGCATTTTGCAGACGACTGGGTTGTACCCGACGGAACAGTTACTGGCCATTAACACATTCATCAGGACGCTTCCCATTGCCCGAAGCTCGTGCTGATGGTAGACGGATTCACTCCAGCGAGAAACACTACAATGTGGTGTTCACACAAGGTGGTCCCCCGTTACAGTGGCAAACAGGTATAAACCCCTTAAATAAATACGAGATGTGTTGAGATTCTGCTTACAAACACGATCCCTGAAAGCCTCCGTAACACAATTGCTTAACAAACACCCACATTTTAACTTCAGCTGATCACGTCCTTTGCCAACAATGCAACTGTTTCATCAAAATGTCTTAAGCCCAAAATCTAGTTACAGCGCATAACAATGACATACAAAATAGGTCTAATGATACGTATACCGATTTAACGAAATGCACGTTTTGTTATTTATAAAAGGACATGACAAAAGTTACCGTTAACTAATTAAACATCTAGACGCAACAACGCAAACATTTTCCTACTTTCTTGCGATTTATTCTGACAACCATAAAGACAGAGAGATATAAGATGCTATAAACGCGAAAGCTGGTTTTATATTCGGTTATCACACGAACGTGCATCAACAAAACTGAATTACTTCATTTTAAATCACTCAACAATGGACACAAATTATATCGATAAACCGAACGGAAAGTGAGGTTAGGAGCTGTTTAGATAGAAGGTCTAATGCATTTAGACTTTATAAAATACAAGAACCATGATGCAATGCGAACAATAAAATTTAACAGCGTCAGAAATAGGGCCTCTTCAAACAAAATCTCTTCTTGTTATCTAATGACGTCTGCTGCCGAGTTCAAACTCAAGTATCGTCGAATTAACATCAGACGTCTGGCTACAGGAACCATCAAAAACAGCGCACGGAACGAAATTCGCGTGGTATCTCGAAACTTCTCGGTGGGTTAGGAAGATACTCTCAAAGAGAGAAAAGACATTTACGCTCTCACGCAAAGCGGTAATAAAAAAAATTCCCGAATTTAAATACAAATTAAAATTCTCTTAAAACATTTTCAATTAAATTCTCCAAAATTAAATTTAATAAAAAAACGGTCCATCAGAATATCAATGAGTCAAAAATTTTCACGGCATGTTCAAGATGTACCTTATCAAGCGACAATGAAACCAGTCCACATCCTCAAATCCATTTTAATATTATCCTCCTATACACACCTACACCTCTCAAGTGATATCAGGTTTTCTCCCACACATGCTACATGTCTTGCCGACTGCATCCTCAGTTTTACCAAAATATTATCTGGCAAAAAGTACAAATTATGAGGCGTCACACGACACACATTACGTATGCCATTTAGGGCATGTGCACGGTGACTTTTGAATCACCCTGTAGCAGAAATATGTTTAGAAGAGTTCTCAGTACGTATTTACTACGGATGAAACAAAGAACAAACAAACAAACAAAGAAGAAGAGGAATATTGAGTTTTAAATAACTTTTCAGATGGATGTTCCAAAATATTTCAGGAGCCCCAAATACCATAAACACACTCACATGCTCCTGCATATGAATATGTGCGCGCGCATGTGTGAGATCAATTTATTTGTGCGATGAAAAAAAATTAAGAGTGGGAAAAATTTTGGGGGCACAGACAAATTAATATTTTATTCACTTGACTCGTAAAAATCCTTAAAATCTTTTCATTACTATAACAAAAATATCAACTTATCACCCAACTGCTTTCAGCAACATTGTTTTTTTTACAGAGTACAGCTCTCTCTTACTTTCTGTAAAATGTTAACAACCCATTCAAGACGTAACACGTCAATATTTATAAAAGTGCGTCAGATTTGCAGCACTAATCTCAACACACTGGGTACCAGTCACAAGATTTATTTATTTTTTTACATTTTAATAAAGATAGACCAGTGACGAGGTACATTTGTCATTTTAAAAAATTTACTCCACCTTTTGGTGAAAAGATAATATTAAAAAAACACTAAAACAATTTTTAAGAAAGTAAACATCGCAAATCTTTTCAAATCCTGTTATTATTCTTCGACAAAAATATCTGGTACTCAATGAGTCAATTAACTCAGCTTAATTACATAAAATAGTAGAATTATATGAATTATAATATTCAAATTACAATATAAACACATAAATTGTTCTGAATACACCACCAATAACGTTCAGCACTACATATATTATAATGATATATTAATTATATTTGCGACCAAGTAGCAACGATAATAGAGATTACCAAGAACAAAATTAAGACTATAAAATCTTTCGCAGTGAATATTTTAAAATGGTCTTCCTTGATACGTATCACCATGACAACAAGGCCACACAATGTATTCAGAGTACTAGCAGAAAAATAATGGAGAAGTTCCAATTCCGTCACTTCCGCTACTCCATTCGGCATCAAATCTACGTTTGCATTCCAAGACAGTCCTCCGTCTCAGGACTGGAACGTCCCGCGTGTCGCTACGTCCAATAGTTTAATTTTAAAATTTAAAAACCTGTGTTCTTATGTTAGTGCAATAAGATCAGAGCAGATACGAAGACATTACATAAAAAATGTTTTCTGAGTCTGAACGTGGGACTCAAAACAGTCAAAGAAAATCTTTCGCTTATCGTGGACGAGATATTTTGAGGGTGCAGAAGACGACGTTAAAAAGTTTTAAACATCGCAGATCTTCCTAAAGCTGAGATTTTGTTCTGAAAAATGTCTTGGCAAAAGAGAAAAGAAACTGTCTCTGACACAAAATTACATCTGAAATGTATAAAAAATACCTTTTCGTAGAGATTAAAATTTATCAGAGTCAAAGTTCTGACAACGTGAACACAGATAACAGATACAAGACCATCATTTTGCTGACAGCTGAAGGTTTAAAACACGTGACGCGCGTATTCATCGCGTTCTACAGACAGTAAAATACCGTAAATGAGGAATACACAAAATATCCCTACAAAAACTGAACGTGAGTCCATTAATCAGGGGTAAATGAACAGAATATTTACGACACGCTCGTAACATCAAAGAAAATAAGTTAATATTCCGCGCTAAATTGAGACAAGGTAAAGTTTTCGCAAGAAACATCCAAAAATGTACGTGGACAGCCCCAGAACAGTCTGCCTGATAAAATAAGAAATATTATAAGAATTAGGCCACGTGTGAAGCAGCGAGGACGAAAACCCAAACCACGATTTGAACCAACTGGACTATGACGTCACGTACTATCGAGTTATAAAGTTAAAAGTGCGAACTGCGCGGCAATGAGAATCATTCGGATTCAGAAACAGGGCGACGTTTAAACTTCTGATGTCTGAACTTAATTTACTACAAAAAAGGAAACTTTCAGAGGACAAATCGAGAGGATCTGGTTCCATCGAGCGATTTGCTTCGAAGCAGACGGAGGAAGATCTCAGAATGCAGACTCCAGCAGAATGACCTAGATGCAAACCTAATAACTGTTGTCTTTTACGTATTAAACAGTTACTTCAAGGAGACAAAAGTGAGAGTAAGTCATCTCCCTGAGAAGCGTCTTCCCATCCCTAGGACCCGTAGCCTACGGAATTCAGATCCAGCGAAGAAAGAAACATAATTTCATGTTCGGAGGAAACAGAACTTACGGAAGCATGGATCGAACACTGTACCTGGCAGCCGCAAATCCTCTACGATCTTAACACGACGTTAGGGAGGAAACTGCAAGAAATACACAATTTAAAACACTGGACTGACTATAAGGAAGGTTTACACACTGACACATACATAATGCAACCTTCAAGCACCAAACATCTTCTTCCCCGACAGACAGACAAAGACGGAGCACGTCGTCGACCCCCAGAGGCGTCCTCTCCCGTCGCTGGGCCTGTACATACGTTACATTTCCATTCGCCATCCTGCTAGATCCCTGCCCCACCATCAAGAGCTGTCGTGGTGATTTGCGGTCACAATCGCGGCCGATTTCTCCCGCTTGAATTTGTCTTCAAGAGTGCCAGGAATCTGATACATAAACGAGACTTAATTATAATTGGTTTTTATTTTAATTAGAAATGTCTCTGGGTTGTTTAATTGGCTCAATAGCAGAGTTTACAAAGCATCAAACGAGGAATCATAGGAGAAGTGTGAATTTATAAAGAGCATGAAAGAAAAACAACATAACCTATTTTTATAATCATTTGAAGAGACTGAGAAAAACCATGACACATGGTCTTTATGGATGTGAAACCCCAACCACAGAACAATGCTTGTGGAAAATGTTCGAATAATACTTCTTCCTCACTTTGTAGTTCTGTAATAAAATGTTAAGGAAGAAGGAAATAAAGGAATCATATGGATAAAGGAAAACAAGACAACAAATCTTAGGAGGAGGTAGACACAAACTGTTTCGCACGTCAAAGTCAGATGCTTCATCGCACTCATAAATAGTCAAAAGTCAGTCAGAAATAACGAGGGAAGCTTTCTGCCCCCTTCCAAAATCTTTACCTGAAGCAGAAAGCAGAGTCCAGCTTTCGAACGGAGTTTCACAATTTTTTTATAACTTAGACGATGGACAAAGTCCAAAAGAAGAATTTTACAAATTAAAAATTCCGTGCTTAATCCTAGTAACACTCCAACAGCACGCCACTCAAAACTGTATAAATCAAGCTTTACATTCCAAAGATTTAAAAATTAAAATCGATTTTCTTTTAAAAAGTATAACGCGTTCTTCTATCCTTGAAGTTAATTGATGGCGAATTTTTATATTATTTCAAACCTATTTCATGCACACAATCTTTAAGCAATCCAGTAATGACAGATTTAACCTAAAACTTTCCATACGTAATTCACACCGGAATAAAACAACAGAAGCTCTAACATAAACCATCTACCGTCACGACAGAACAATTGCCTAGCGCGCACCGCACAAAGTCTTACGCCAACTGTCAAGGCACGTGTTACTTCAGGGAGTTCCCCAACAGCAGGTTCTCAATCTGTCGGGCATGACGTTTCGGCAACTCCACAGTCTAGAAATAAAGTCAAGACGCACACACGTGCAACAGCCATTTACTTCCACAATCGTACAAACTAAGACTCAGCTAATGAGTCATTTCGTCTCACCGGCAGATTTCTTCTTGTCAAATAAAATACGCCAACTAATCGCCATAAATAGACATAATTATAATAAATACAGGATATTTATTAAGTAGAATTTCACGATCTCATGGCACCAAATATGAAGACGGCCGCGTAGTCTGGTAGAAATCTGCCTCCATCATTGCCCTGATGATGGAGGCAGCAAGGACCTCTGAAAAATCAGTTTCTACCAGACGGCCATCTTCAGAGATTTAATATAAGCGTATTTTGTTTTGTTATTCATTTCTTGTTAAATTAAGATTATATAAAGACAGAAATTCAATAACAGTGATTTAGAATCCACAACTTAATAAGAGCAGAAACAGATCAAACAAGGCATTAATACAGCATGAATTATAGAGCATTTCTGTTACAAGCAGAAGTTTCTCATGAGCATGTTCACAGTTCTTTCTGTGGCTTACAAATGCTCACGGCAGCCATGCACACTCTGGCTTACTAAAATTACATAACATGCTCAGTACACCTTTCACACATGCACTAGGTTACAGGTACCCAAAAGTCACGTGAATGCTCAAACAAAAATGTCGCTAACGATAAAAGTAAGAGTTTCCAGCTGGTGGGCGATGAAGCACATTTTCGTGATCAGTCACACGTAAAACTGAAAAAAGTGATGACACGTAAAATTGTTTCGCCATCTTTTAAACGAGCAGATCAACAGAAAAGGGTTTTTGTGTTTAGTTCTGCCTGCGTGTTGGAAAAGTCCGCAAAAGTTGTACCGAGAATCAGCAAAATATCTGCCCGGTATCAGTCCGTCTGTTCTATGGTCCACGGTCAAAAATAAATTCGCTGTTACCCCCACCCCTCTTACCCTCCAGACCTCGCTCCCTGTGACGTAACTTTTCCAAAGACGAAGCAGAAGCTCGTCTACGAATTATTTAAGAATTGAGTCCGTACCGCGAAGAAAACACGACACTTCACCATTACGAAATTCAACTCGTTAACGCTGTTTAACGAAATAATCGCTGGTTACGATGAAAATCATAATTCGTCTGAATATCATTTAAGAATTCAGTCCGTACCGCAAAGAAAACACAACTCTTCCCCATTACAAAGATCAACTGGTTAAAGAAACAACGACACAAAACACAAAATGAAGAGTTAGCGACTGTTAAAACAGATGAGACACGCGGTTACTATCAGGCTTTAAAGAGTTAATGATAATTTGCAGATTCAGCGGATGATTAAAGGAATTACAAGAGAACAGCTCAAGACACGCTTCTGACGAAGGCAGAATTACTGAGCCCCGCGCGTTCATTCGTAACGGAAGTGTGACGAAGGGTACACGATCGAAAATTCGGTCACTTAAATAAATCTTCGCTTACGAAAACACATTCTCATAACTTTTGAGTACCACATAATTAATTTTATATATTACAAGGGCTAAGTTCCATATTCACTCAAAAATACAGACAGCAAAGACATAAAAATGCATTTTACAAACAACGTAATGTGTCTCTGACTATATTCATGTTTATGTACAAACATAAATGCACCCATGCACTTCATATATATAAATAAATATCTGTACCCACCTCCCTTCTTTTTAACCACGTCGACAGCAGCAGTTCTAAACTTCTTTGAGTACACGAGTACTACCTTTTACCGCGTTTTAACGTGTCCTAAACGACAACAAATTGAAAAAAGCGCTAATCGTCTCTAGAACGTTGAACAGAAGATTCCAGAAGATATAATTAGCGACAAGGCACGATACCGAATGCTAAGATTCAAAATTCTCAATTACATTTAACTTACTCTTACAAACAAATAAACAAACAAGGCTAAGTAACGCAAAAATTTGACAAATGCCATCAAATGTGGGATTTAAACATATTTCCAAGATTTAAAATTCGGGAAGTTAAAGACTAAACTCATGTTTTTTTTACGGCGTTGCTCCCAGTAATGTTACGTATGTACTTAAATATTTTTTTAATAAAAAATCTTATGATGATATTTGTAAATTTCAACTTGTGTTCACGTGCACCAAAGATTCAGAACCACTGCTTAAATAATCAAGAGTAACCACAAATTACAAGCCCAGAATAAGAACACAAAATAATTACAGTACACTCCCAAATATCTGTGCATGGATCCACACGCCATCACGCCTAATTAGTTTTCATTACCTATTAAATTTATTTAAAAGTTTATAAATTTGCATGTCCTCGTGTGGCGAGTTCACGGAAGAGGCAAACACCAGGACGACCCTGCACGGCGCCACGACTGTGAATACGACCAGCAAAAATTTCACGTGCAAATTGGAAATTTCAAAAAGTCTGGATTGACAGAAACAGTTGAGAGTATACTGCAATAAATAAATTCCAAGAAAATGTAAAGTTTCAGAATCCTAACAGTCAAACTGAACGAGTAGCATTTTCTTGATAACTTTCCATTACATTTATAACCTGGTTCCTGCCCCATTTAACTATCCACATTACCAAAAATTCCCCAATTTAAAGAGACTTGTGTGCGTTTGCAAACAGTTACTGGGAGTCAAAATCACATGAGTCCCGGCCACCATTTTCTAGCGGCTCCTCACAGATGTTTGGGTCTTCCTCATCCTGGAATGAGTTTAAAGTGGCGGTTACAATCCCAGTCTACGGCTACATTTTTGTCATTAAAGAACAAACAACAAATTTTATTTTTGAAAAACACATAAAATGGACACAAGTCTCAACGAAGAAATAAACATTCAAAAGCCCTTGAGCTACAGAACAAATGTCACATTTACATGAAATTCTTCACGACTGTGAAACGTATGAAAACACAGCGGACCAAACGAGATTATTGTTTCTGCCAAGACGATGCATGGACCGATCAACTTACACAATATTAAACGAGATACGTCAGAACCACGAAGAACGAATCAGATCAATGTGGGTACGAGCACACGAGACCTACTTTAAGGTGTCAGCGTACGTCTGGAGAAGACTTACGAGAAATCTCAGGATAATCAGCCTCTTGTTTGTTACTTTCAACCGGGCGTGCGAAATTCAAGTCAAGGCAGCAAAATATGAACAATTTATATACTTAGTAAAAATGAGATGATAAAGTTGCGTCATATTGTGATAAATATATATTTGTTTAAATCTTGTCAGTCTAATCACAATAAAATTCCTATTACTCCTCCACAACTTCATTTCTGGATGATACAAAAACAACAACAAAACGTTCACCCCCACAAAATCATGTTAAGCACGACGTACATATACAGAACAACTTCGAATACGATATTAAAATACAATAAAATCTGGAAGAAAACATCATTTGAAATCTGATAAACATATGACTAAAAGTTGCATTTAAGAAATTATATTTAAGTTTATATAATTTTATACACCTGAAGATAGTTCTTTTAGAACTGAAACTGAAACATGTCGTGTAAAAAAGTGATGATCTAATGTAAATCGAACATTTCGATAGAGAACATCATTTAATATATTTTAAATATTTAAATGTTAATTATGGTAATATTTTAATATTTAATAGGAAGTTTATTGTGATTAGACTGACAAGATTTAAACAAACAAATATACTTAGTAAAAATACTTAAGTACAATTGAGTAGCACTCGTTTTGTGAACAAGCATCATACAAGCTTGTTGGTGTTATTCGCTGGCACCGATGGAACCTCGCGACAGACTACGGCTACATTTTTCTTAACCTTTAAGGTACGGCATTTATATCTCATTAAGGGGTATATTATTCTACAAGGCAGTTAAAGGCGGTGTGACGTCACTGCAGTTGCTTAATTCCAGTGCAGTACTACTCTGAATATTATGTACACATGACCTTGAGACAAAGAATATAAGCCGCTGTGCAATGTGCCAATGAAAAATAGTACTTTGAACAATTACGTGATGGCAAAGCACGCAACAGATGTCACACAACACACTTACTAAGTTTAAGATCACTTAACATTCAACACTGTGGACAATTTTAAAATTACACAAAAATTGAGCCTACGACGCAGGTCGTCCTTGAGGAGCCGACATTCATACAGAAGCTCAAGACATTCCGCCTTTATGGAACCCAAAAGTTCACATTGTCATCACAAGATGACGAAGCTCAGAGACTGGACAACATGCTGTATTACTGATGATTAAAACTTGTACATCGCTGCAGAAACCAGCGTTATGACGCATCCAGTCACAAGGATGTTAATCACAAGGCAGACAAAGCAACATGTCATCAGAATTACATGCAATTCATGATTACGAAGTGTAACTGCGAAAGAAAAGAATCTGCGGCCATTTGACATATTACGCTACACACACACGATTCACAGACATTCTACACACACACACACAGAGATAACATCTTTTTGGTAAACCGTCTGTCCGTACAAGCACCCGAACACACAGCTCCGTCTGTCACGTGTTATCTTCCAACTTTCAGTCTGATTTCGACAAAATCTTGTATATACCAACCCTGTCAAAAGACGTCAATAAACCAGAGATTTTGAGTTAACTTGATCAGTAAATGTTGGCACATTACGTGAGGACTTGAACTACCATATTTACAGGTAAACTTAGGTTCTTGGGGATATGCAACTAGGATAAACCAAGATATAGAGACGTGTGACTTAACGCACCAGCAACGCATTTAAAAGAAATCCCCGTTCATTTTTGACAGCGACAATAAACTTACCTTCGGTTTGGGACGATGTGTGTCAACGCAATCGATGGGAAGTTTAATATGTTCCATTTTACAACCGTATGCCACTGGCGTCAATTTGATGATAGTATGGAGTGGAACGTACAGATACGGCAGCTCATCTGGAAAAACAAAGGATCGACATAAGCAGTTTTTCCTTCGAAGCATATGAGACACAACTGTCACCACAAATAAAAATCTTGCATTTGCATTCCTGTATCAAACACACTTCATTCTTTCATAACACTGTGTGCGTGCGTGCGTGTGTGTCCCCTTCCTATGGGAAAATTATAATTATGGAATAATCATCACCTTGATATTGTAAAAGAGAAATACGTTTCAGGGACCCAAAAGCATGGGTTTTGAAATGCACCGCACAACCTTAACGATGGAAACATGCAGTGTTTTTGTTGGAAGAAAACTATTTTCTAATTAGCCAGCACACATTCATATTAGACATTATTGGATAACAGAGCGTGGAACACACGGGGGGGTGACGGATGTCAGTGCAGTGCTATGGAAAGGGGGCACACTCCAAGCCAATTACGCGAGGCAGTGACCTTACTTCGCATGAAGTCCTTGCAACACAACGTTGTACTGTGTTCACAGCAGTAAGAGCAAGAACAGCGCGTCTGTTTCAATACTGTTAAGAAAAACAAAGCAAAAATATTTTTCATACTGACAGAAAACATTTACCACGTCGGTACGGCTGCAATTATTTGCAAGTGAACTACACATCAGGATGTTTCATGTGCTGTTTACAGACCATATTGTAACTGTTCAACGCAAAACACAGATAAATAAGAGATTCTAGGTGTTACAGCTGTGAAGGCGTTGGTTGTCCTCTGGGTTATCACGCCATGTGGACTTACAGGTGACTCCCGACATTTATAGCAGAACACACTGCCATCATCTTCACGGCTGAAGATGGAAACCTATGTTGCCGTGAATAGTTGGTAAGTTAACAAGCCATCATAACCCAGAATACCACCACTAACAAAGACAAATATTTTACCACATTTCTTCTTCTTCTGCTTTCAAGGATTAGGCCTTCTGGCACGTTACAATTCAGAATTAATACTGAGAAAGTGAATCTTTTTAGATATGTCGCAGGACACACTGCAAGACCTAACACAAAAAAACACAAATATCTACAACCTAAGTGGGATTCAAACCCATAATCTCAATGCACGTGCGATCGAAGACCACAGTTAAGCCTTATACAGGATTAATATTTACTTTACGAGTGACTGTTGGCCATAATATAAATTAGTTGAACGTGTGACATCACGTGGCGCTGGCGTAGCTCATTCACGAGCATGCAAAAGGCATTCTGTTTTAGAAAGAGCGATTATAAATTGAAAATATAAAAGTATATTTTACTACAGGGAAAATTAAAAGGCATTTCTTACATCGCACACTCACACGATACAACCCGAAAAAAAAGTTCCACTTTTCATGCAAGAGATTTCATGCCCTCTTTATGTCTCCGAGTACCACCCGAATACACCAGTAATAAAGTCCAAACAGAACAAAGTAAGTTAACATGCTACTAGTGAGAAGGTTTGCTAGCCTGTATCACACATTTCTTATATTAGCCTCTAATATAAAACCGTATTTTCTATACATTTTCATATTTCTACAGACTTTGTAAACAAAAGGAGGAAGAGTAATCATGCTACAATGAACAGTGGTGCCATCTCAAAGTACTTTACCTCTGTCAAACGTTTCTTCGAGGTGGTAAATTGTTACAAGTGCCAAAATGTTTTACTGACCTGCTGATTTATCAAGAAAGTACGCCAGCAAACATCTGATCACTGCCTGGTGGCTCACGACAAGGACATTTCCTTGACGTTCCAATTCCATTATCACTGGCTCGAGTCGCGCTACCAGATCCTCGTAACTCTCGCCACGAGGATATCGGTATGTGAACTTGCTTTGATCGCGGGCTGTAAAATCTTCAGGATATTTCTCAGCAATTTCTTCATATGACATCTCTTCACAGATACCCTGAAAAATTAAATTAAAACTTCCTTGGTGACATGATGGCGGTTTAACCGGAATCTGGGAAAATGTTCATTTTCCTTCATAACATCCAAGTTTTTTGTCTTTCAAGAGCAGCGCAGTGTAATAATAGCGTGATTCAAGTTTCATTTATCACGTATCACCACATTTGTCTCAATGTTCCTCTCCAACAAACTAGCGGAGGATTAACTTCAGTTTCCAAACTACCGACTATCACGACAATTTTGTACTTCTAGGTTTAAAAATCTATACAAGAAATAAAGAAGATATTTTGATAAACATCGATACTCACGGCATCTATTTCATTGAGGGCCTTCCAGCGTTCTTGAGGTGCCGGGATTGTGGCTACTGTCTGAATGGTTCTTTTGAGCCACGACGTCCACACTCTAAGTCCCGGTATGTCTTGCTGGTGGATGTAATTCGCTAGCGCCGTCGCATATAATTTTCCTCGGTAAGAAAGATCCGAGTCTCCTCCGATACGACCCTCGACATTCATGTCGCTCTCACCGTGCTGTCCAAAGATAAATTATTATTAATACAAGTACTGCATATTTTCATATTAAACATCATATTTTAAACTCTCAGAAAGATTACTACATAATATAACTAGGCCTATTGGTAGCAGAAGAAAATTACAATAAAAACTGGTGAGTTCCAGAGAGGCTGCAGAGCTTGCGTAAATGCTGCAACACTGTCTACGACGTCAAGGTCGTGAGAATGTGTTACAGACGGGGAGAAATTAGGAAGACATTTTATTTAAAAAAAATACATCTTGTAGACTGGAATATATAGCGTTTTTCCGAGTCCCATGCCACAGCAATCTGTGTTTCCACCAGAAGAGTCCGCATGAACTTCATGCTGGTTGCCTGATGACCGAACCGTCTGTCGTCCCACAGCTCCACCTCAGTTTCTTTTCATACTCTTCCTTCTGAGCGACATGTATCCCAATCTTTTCCTTTTACTTTCATGTTCAAACCCTTGTTTTGGTGTCTTTCTTCATTCATTCTTAAACCATCCACTTCATTTTATTGTTATTTGTTAATATGAAGTAATGTTATTATAACCTAAAACTTTCACAGCAAGCAGAATTCATAAAATCCTCTCGGGCTATGAACCGAAAACTCACCGATGTCTCGGGAACCGTCTCTGTCTGATGTAATATCAGTACCACTACATTCTGAACGTGTATTAAAGCCTTACCCTTGTCAGGTAGATGGTGCGAGGGGTTATGTGGATGTTCATCAGGTAGTAGACGATTCGACTCTGAATGTGGCCCTCGTGCTTGTGGACCACCACCTTCTCGCCTGCATGCAAATAAACCGGTGACACGATAAGCAGTTTTCCATGAGAAGCAAGAAATAGAAGTAACATTTCTAGACGCAGAAATAATTAAAGAATTGCACTAATACACAAAAGACTACCAGCAAATAGATTATTAATATTATTACAATTCTGACTATAAATTAAAGATAATTGTACAAGTTTTGTTAATCTAAATAGGCAGAATTATGCAAACACACAGCGTATTTAATTCTCTGATTAGATGACCTTGCTGTTTGCACAGACCTGTGTTATATATCTTCATGAAGCTCAAGTCTGATTCCTCCTTCTCGTCCAAAGCCATGTACTTCTCCTCGTAGTGCTCGATCCTCTGCAGAAAGTCCTTCAGTGCCATTTCAGTGTTCATATTCTTATAATCAGGGCTGTTCACTTTAACTTCCTGTTTGAGAAACAATAATCATCAGCAACTAAAAACATTAGTTGTTCTTAGATATCAATTTGTATAACACTGCAAAACATCTGAAGGTATATTACCACACTGACTCCCATCAGGGTCAGAGGCGGGTATCACGAGAATAAATTTTAGAACCACGAGAGACACTGATAGGTCACAGCACTATATTGTTTATATAACGTATTTCTAACATCATAGCTGGGAAAGGAACAACGCATGAGGTTTTTGAGAGCCATCGAAGTGTCATGATTCAAACAGAGTTCTAAATTGTTTTAGGGGCACTGGTGGGTCGCAGGATGTAATTTATGCCTGGCAAAAATCGCTTCGGATCCAACGTGTTAACTCATGTATGAGCCAGGCAGCAGAGTCGACACAGTGACTAGTCTACAGACTGGATGATCTGGGTTTGATTTCTGGCAAGGACAAGAGATTTTTCTTTCTACTACTGTTTCTAGACCAGCTCTGGGGCCCACCAAGTATCCTTCCCAATGAGAACTGGGGGTTCTTTGCCTCAGGGCAAAGTAGAATGGGTGTAAAGCTGACTGCGTACCTGCATTGAATACAAAAGTCAAAAAATGAGTGGATTTAAACCTTCATCCACATACGTCTCCCTAGCAAAGTGCTTAATAATAAGTACCAGAGACAAATTTATTAAATTATGTGGCAGGATATTGAGAATTGAAAATTTTACATGAGCAGAAATATATTTTGAGGAATCATTTTGGACTGAGTAAGCGGAATTAGGCAGAAATTAAAATGGAGTAGAAGTAAACAAAACCGCTGGGCACGGGTTACAAACACGGTGGTGCATGCAGGGAGACAAGAATGGCCAAAGCGTCATCTTCAACTGTGACACAGTTTATCCCAGGCTGCAGGTTACCAATTTTGATTACGTCAAAAAGAAATGATGTGGACAACTCACCATTATGTTCTGTTCTATGATCTGTGGATCATCACAGACTGATTCAACAAAGAACAGCTTGAACCCCATCTTATTCACAACAATCTCCTTAATCATGCGCCGGCGATCCCACGTTGAATTAGTAGCATCAAACACCTGAAAATACAAAATGACAACATAAAATCATAAAATGCTGATACCAGATACTCTCATGTCAACAAATCAATCTAAAAACTAACTCACCGCAACTTCACCACCGTTCTCTAGCCAGGCGCACACATCGTGCAGAGCATCAATGGCGCACTGAGTCCGGATGGCCATAGCCTCTCTGTTGTCCGGCCTGAAGAATTCGTGGCTCTTGTATGCAGTAGTTGCATGTCGGCGGTATTCGCCAAGATTGAACACTGACGATAAAGAATGATACATACTTATTACTCAACAACATGAACCTATAAACTAATTAAGTGAGCAATTCACTCTTCAAGTGCTGTACTGACTGCACGGTGAAGGGCCAAAAAATTAGATAAACAGATCTGATTACTCAAATAAATCTGCTAGCTGAGTGAGACGTTTATACTGGCATTTCAGTGGCTAAAATAAAATAGCAGAAGAGGGAAAGAAGGACTCATTTGAACATGTGTGCATGTCAACAGTACTGACAACTCAGAACAATTTCAAACTAAACCAGTAATAAACTAATTCCACGGAGGACAGTCCTCGAGAAGCTGACAATACAATGTAATAATTACTGATATTATTAAACAAAATTATTGAGTAATTTGTGAACTTGTTAGGATACTAGCAAGTAACATTTTTAATAAAACTCAATGAAGTTCCAATAAAACGACCTCATTTATAACTTTCTGGCACCCGAGCCAATAAAAAACATGGATTTTTACCCTCAGACTTAAAACATTGCTAAAGCTTGATTCAATAATCGTTTTATATCAGCATAAAAATGAAGTAATAAAATGGATTACCTTTTGTGTTAATGCCAATCCAATTGAGGTACCTGGACAGTTTCTTAGAAATGTAAGTCTTGCCTCGCGCCGGGAGGCCGACCATGGCGATGACGTGGGGACTGTTGACATAGTTGGCGCGCTCACCTGCACAAACACAAAGCCACTCCTTACTTCCTTAAAACAAATCAATCAAATGAACAAACTCGTTGTAACATCACAGAGTCCAACTTTAAATTTAAAACCTTGAGAGATTTTTATGTCATTTTATATTTGCTTTCGACAGCAATGGGAAGTAGGGAGAAGAGAAAGACATTTCAAAAGGTAGAGGGAGACAAAGTATGAAGGACATCAACAAAGCAGGGTGTGCCATTTAGAACTTTCTGAGAGTGACAGACTAGAACATTTTAAAACTAGAAACTATGCCACAGCTTTGTCCAATCACAGACCTTGTGTCATTCTGGGTCATGGTAATAATACAGGGTTCTTGCCAACACAGCACAGTGTGTGTGTGTGTGTGTGTGTGTGTGTGTGTTCATCTACCCAGAAGATGGAGGGGTCATGTTCCTCCAAAATGTTGGTAAATGCCTAAAAGACCACAGGATATCACAACTCATAAGACTGCCGTCAGAGTCTCAAACCTCGGGCCTCCAAGAGCTGAAACCACTCTCTGCCCCTCGGAACAGTTTTGAGGTAACTCACACAGGATGGCCTAAACCACGACTAGGAAGGATTAGGAGGAACGAAGCCATAATTATTTCCTTAAGTAATGTATTCTGACATAACAGAAGTTACTTGCTATACCACTGGGATCACAGGTTAAAATCTTGTTCGGGGATTGAATCTTTCTTAACATTTGTCTGCGTTGCATCGCAAATGCGCCAAACTGCATATACAATGAGAAACAGATTAAATGAATGGAACAGACAGAAAAGATGAGAACTAATTATGGATAAGAAGAAAATACAAATGCAATCCAGGTATTAATTAACAGTTGGTTGGCTCCATAATCAGCATTAATTAAATCCTACCAGCATGACGTTTGTTTCTTCGTGAATTACAGAACAGAAGAAGTGCTAGCTGCAATGTTACACCATTTTAAATAAAAGAAATTCCATGCTTGGATAACGCAAGGAGAAATAGTCCATTTACAACTATTTTCTTTTGCTTGAACTGCGTAAGTCTGTTATGGGCATTTGATGACAGTTTGCATGATTTACTGAATCGTCAACTTCAATCCTACAAGATTTTTAAGAATGCCAACATTCAAATGTAAACCCACCACAACAGCCAGATTGGGTCCGTGGCATTGTGACGTATTCAGGAGCGGAGTCAGCTCCAAGCCCCAGCGGCAATACCCCCAGAAGACAAACCCCTCACCAACGTACCAACTGGACAGGATTCTGAGTGGGCCCCAGACGTGACGTGGACTGAAATCTGTGTCCCTGTCGGGATACGAACAACGATCATCCAGCCAGTGGCTAGTAACTTCAGTACTGACTGTGCCAGGGCTCACCCTTAAGAGTCGAGGGTGGGAAAGT